CCCCCCCCCCCCCCGCAAAAAAAGAGCTCACTGAGCTTAAGCCTCAGAACCTACAGCAAAAAACAAGTAGCTAGGATAGGATCTCCGAAAGAACCAGAGGATGTATTTATGTACGTGAACTACTGTCAGCAGCCCATGAAGGTGGAAACACCACCTACATGGACCCTTGTGAACATCTGTACAACACTATGCTTAACTGAAAGGTTTCCGCAAACATCTAGTTTCTCTAATTGACACATTTTTACTTACGACATGGAAGTCAGAGATAATAATGGAGAACCTCACAAATCAGGTTAAAAACCTAAGCTTTAGATTTCTTATGACCAAATAACTGTGCTAGTGTTTCTGGTTAAAATCAAACTAGGCAACTAAAAAGCCACTCAAAATCAGGATGACTTAGTCAGCTTCCAGTTTCCGATTACTTCTGTATTAGTCAATGCTCCAACTTCCTTTTAATACTTTCAAGTTGTATACTGTCAAAAAAAAAAAAAGTCTCAAGGCTGAGAGTGTGGCTTAGTGGTAGAGTGTTAGCCTAGCATGCATGAAGCCTTGGGTTCTATTCCTCAGTAGCACATCAACAGAAAAAGCCAGAAGTGGTGCTGTGGCTCTGGCTTAAGTGCAAGGAGTGCTAGCCTTGAGGTGAATGTACATTTAATAGCAGTGTAATTGATACAAAAGGGGTGTGTTACAAAATACCTGTATTGAACATGTGGACTTATAAAGGCACCATTCATTCCTTCTTATCTTGTGGACCTACATAGTTATACCCTATAGACTGAACTCTGTGCAATGACCCAGCTTTCAGTATAGTATAAACCAAAAACACTACCTTGAAGGAGCACATTTAAGGAAACTAAGCCACAAGTCTGTTGCATTATGATTTAATCTAATTGCACAAAAAAATGTGAAATCACAACTCCTCCAGATTTGAAGAGGAAGGTTATGCATGCCTCCATAATGAATTGTGCAGTTACATTTGAACCATATTGTGAATTTTACATCATAATGGATGTGTGGAATTCCCATGCAATACCTCAAATTATAAAATGGAAACAACCTTCAAAACTTTGTGGACATGCTAAAGATAAAAGCCATTTTTTAAATGGGCAACATAATTTGGATTACAATATACCAGGCTGCTGCTTACTTTTAAGATCATGGACCCTGAACTGGCTTTGGCCTCAACTCCTAAGAGTAACTAACATCACTCGGGTAACGACCAAAATTTCCCCGTAACTTCAGACTACTCTCCAGTGCCTCCATTGTGTTTCTTATAAAGAACTACGTGACCAGCTGCTTCCCAAGGGACCAGAACAATGGTAACAGTGGGTTCAACTATTACACAATTATGCTAATATTTTATTAATTCAAAAGCACTTTACAAGAAAATATAAGTATGGCTTCCAATAGGAATGTTATACCTGGACTTGGTACCAAGCTCACAGATTTGAGTTTGCAAGGAAAAACAGGCTTTCAAGTTAAACAACAATTTGTAACCAAAACTTTAATCCCAAGGAATTCTCACAAAACATATTACAAATGACAGCATGAAAAAAAAAGTTGCACAGTAACTCAAAAGTTCAACTCTACAATGTACCCTTAAACTGGCAGGACATTTTTTGAAATCTTAAATTTCCAAATAAAGAATGTTACAAACAGCCATGTATTCATATATAGCAATCACGTAAGACACTTAAAAGGTAAACTTTCACATCAGGTGTTAAACCAACTAGGCAACCTATGCCCAGGGTGAAGTGAAGACCAGCTGGATTTAGGAAACACTCATCTGGTTTAATGACGCAGCTTTGATCTTTACCCGCTGGCCTGTCTGTGAGCATGGCCACTTTTAAAGACTGTTTATTCAGCTACAGCTGCATACTGTATCCCAGCTAGGCGCAAAGTAATCTCAGTTCCACTTCTGTAGTTCTGCTTCTGTAACATTAGCACATCACACTTCAGCTGGGCAAGATTTAGAGCTTTTTATTTCAGTCCTATGCAAGACTAAAGTTCAACGCAAATTTAATCTTGCTTAAGGGAACATTGTAAAGCAACAATTCTTGATATTACATGCCTCATATGATCCATTTCAAACCATAGAGAATTACATTGCTGTGTCACTGTTCCAAAAGACAAACAAATTTGAACAGCTAAAACATCTTAAAAATGCACCAAGCTTATGAAGTCTCAAACAAAACTTGAATTTTCTGTACATACTCCTGTCAACTGAAGTCATTTCCTGTACACCACTTCTTGCAAACTGCTCTTCTATTTCCTTTCATTCGACCTAGATCGGCTAGGGGAAAAGAAAATACTTTTTTACAACTGTACCTTTGTGACATTTAGTGACATCAACAACGAAGCTCTGGCTTATTAAAATTAAGTATATATCATTTGCGTATCTTTAAAAATGGCCTAAACATTAGGAGTTCTTACCTACGAGACCTAGAGAAAGATCGGGACGGCTTGTGATTTCTCTCCCGAGACAGTGATCTCTCTCTTCTCCTATCTCTAGAAAGGGACCTAAACCAAGGAGAAAAATGTTAGGGCAACTGTTATGGCAACTATACTAGAAAAAACATACCTAGCAGAAATGTCTGCTGAGTCCTTGAAAACTCAAAGCTGGTTCATCCTATAATTTAACCCTAGCCTAATTAATTCCTGATTATTTTTCTTTCTCATTCCTGAGTCATTTGGAAACTGGCTCCCACTGCCATAGCTGAGAATATGACTCAAAAATGTGGATTTACCTGCTCCGGCTGCGAGAGAAGCTTCTCCTTCTTGGAGATCTAAAAGCAGAAACATGAAAATTAGGCTAACAGTCAACTAGTATTTATGGCGTGAGGCATTTCCCAACTTTTCAATCTCACTGTTGGGCCCAGTGAATGTGCCGGAAGAACTGGCACTCATCGTCCAAAAATAAAAGAAAAGAAAAAAAGGCACAGAAGGATTAAGGAACAAAAAGCTCAAGTGAAAAGCAGATATTCCAACCATAGATTCATTTTAACAAAGAATGCTTCACAGCAGATCTGTCCAATGCAAAACTTCATGTCAAACTAACTCCACTACCCAAACACCACGCCAAAATGTAGTCCCACAAGTAGTTCCAAAAACAGTACCATAAACCAGTATTTGGAACCCATGCAAACTTCTAAGTCTGTAACAAGACTTAGGTAGGTACCAGGTGGATAGTGTCATTTTGTGAAAACGCGGTAGGTGTAAATACTGATGCCATTTAGTGCTACATTAGAACTGCATCTGTGATCGTCACATTTATAGTGTGTGTTTCGGCTTATCAAATCACCTTAGCTTGGCCCACACTTCACCCCCAAAATTTAAAAAAATTTGAAAACTGTTAGTAAAACCATTTAAAGGTGATAGGATTCAACCAAATTTGCTAGGAAGAAAAGCTAATAAAATCTGTTAGAGATTAAATTTTTTAGTTTGGCATCTCACACATGCAAAATAAGTTCCACTTGAAGGTCTAGTTACATTATGAGTTCCCTATCACCCTTAAAAGTTTTCAAGCAATATATATGTACGTTACCATTCAATTATGCACAGCCAGCCTTTGATCCAGAAAAAGAATTACTTTAAGCCGCTTACTCCTTATTTTAACCAGCAGTAAACTGTATAAGCAGGAAAAACTTACTAGTTTTGGGTTTCAACAAGCTAGAAATGGTGAGGTGAGGCTGCCGGACTGACGGCCAGGAAGAATTTGCTGAAAAGGTTTTGCCAGATGTTGCGTTGGATTTAGTTGGTTGGCGAAGGGGGTGTTGTGGATTTTTCCTGCTTTTTTGTTAGCCGAAGGCTGCTGCTGTAGTTGTTGTGAAGACATTTGGTAAATAAACAGCTGAGCTGATTGGCCAGGAATGTGTGGGCGGTCGAGGTGGCTGCTGCCGATTTGGTTAAGGTTGGAGAGAAGGCTGAGAGAAAACAGCATGCTCGGGAACCAAAGGGCGGTGCAACCTGACGACTGGCCAGCCTGGGTCATGTGAAACGACACCAGCCAAGCTGAATGGGGCGCGCTGGTCACATGACGCTGAAAGGGCTAGTTGACTGGCTAATGCAGATTCAGAGGGTGGTGAGAAGAGACATGATGGTGACTCTGTAACGGGGTTCATTTTTATTAATAGATGGACCAAAAAGCACAAAAAAAAAATGAAAAACAAGCCATCAGTACAACCATCTATTAGCTAACAAATACTCTTTATTATGATGGGCAACAGTGTGTTGTTTTTCAAAATAGCAAAAGGGGCAAGATTGTGGACTCCTATCTCCTAAAAGGACCTCACTCACCTGTAAGAGGTAATTTAGTCCTACAGAAACAATTTTGGCAGTTGGAGATGAGGAGTTAGCATCCAGACAATAATGTCTGGTCCAAGAATGATGCCATTCTCAATTATTAAAAAAAAAACAAAAACTGAATTCTCTCCTATGTGGGATTCAAGAACAGATGACTGGATTTACTTTTTTAGCCCCTTTTATTGGTCAGTGACTTAAGTTTAGAATGATTTCTACTTTACTAGTTGTAACATTAAAACAGCTGCCTGTTTAGTCAATATTACAATTGTGCTAGTAGAAAACACATTTTTGTGAAGAGCTAGAGTTGAATGTTATGTTTGTCATTATGGAGAGTCAAGAAATGGAAAAAGGCCTAAACTGAAGTATAAGGGAAGAATTGGAAAGAAGCAACTGGAAGATGAACTAGAAGATAGATCCAAGACAGAAGTTACTCACTACCAACATGAAAAGTACCTACAGACACAAGCCAACACTCAGCACAACTCACATACCCCCGAACTACACCCAGCCAATGTTTCGTAGAAACCTCCGAGCCTTCAAACCCACCATAAATATTTGGAGAAATACCTGCTCCTACTAGCTACTCCATTACACCAATACCTCTAAAACGTGCTCTCTCTCAAGTACCTGCGGCGAGGTGGAGGACTCCTCCTTCGGTAATCATCTCGAGGGCGACGACCCCAAGAGGGAGGCGGACCACGGTTTCGGCTTCTCTTCTCACCATTGGACAGTTCCACTCTTACACGGCAGCCACACAGTGTTCTGTGGGGACGAAAGACAATAATCTTATAACAGCCTTCCTGAGCCGTGCATTACAACAAAAACAACTCTTTGTATGTCTGAAAACCTTTTAATACCAAAACTTTAACCTTCCCTCTTTATTTGGTCATGTGGCTTGAACCGGACCTGGGCACTTTAGCTCAAGACTAGCAAGCACTCTACCACTTGAGCCACAGCACCACTTCCACCTTTTCTGTTTATGTGGTACTCAGGTCTTGAACCCAGGGCTTCATACATACTGGGCAAGCACTCCAGCAAGCCACATTCCCACCCCGAGATTTGTTTTCTTTCAAGGCTAGCAAACACTCCACCACTTTGAGCCACTGTGCTACTTCTGCTTTTCTGGTGGCTAATTGGAGAGTCGCACAGACTTTCTTGCCCAGGCTGTCTTTGAATTGTAATCCTCAGATCTCAACCTCCTGAGTAGCTAGAATTACAGGAGGTAGACCCCAGTGCCCAGCAAAAATTGATTCTTTTCTATTTGTTGGTCATGGGGCTTGAACTGAGGACCTGGGCACTGTCTCGTTTTACCATTTGTTAGAACAAGTATAATTATTGAGCACAGTAATGTTAGCAGCTGTAACTGATGTGTCAAGAACCTCTGGATTAACATAGAAAACTGGCACTTGGACTTTTTCAGTTACTATGTTCAACTATCAGTCTCTCTCCTGCATCCGTAACAGCTCTAAGACAATTACTTTGGCCCTTTTACACCACTCTTTGAACCATCATCATGCAAGGAATTATAGCCCAGTTATAGGAAAATATGAGATAGCTATGCCTCCCATTTGTTCTTACATAGCCATTCATTACTCTTTAGGTAAACCAAATATATTTGGGCAGTTGCTTGGAAGAGGTAGGCCCATGCCTATAATCCCAGCTACTCAGGAGCCTGAGATCTGAAGATCACAGTTCAAAGCCAGCCCAGGCAGGAAAATTCAATGACTTATATCTCAATTTAACAACCAGAAAAATGTGGCTCAAAGCGGTAAGGCATTTCCCTGGCATGTATTAAGCCCTGGGTTCAATTCCTCAGTACCACACCAACAGAAAAAGCCAGAAGTGGTGCTGTGGCTCAAGTGGTGGAGCAGAGGCAGCTCAGGGACAGTGCTCATATCCTGAGTTCAAGCCCCGGGACTGGAGGGAAGGGCGAAAGCAGAAAAAAGAAAACTTTGCTTCTGTAACCTGTCTGGATGACATTTTTATGGACAGGTTGTCTCACTATCTATCTCAGGCTGGCCTCAATAACAGCGTTAGGGCCAACTCTCAGACCCGTAAGGAACTGTCATTTGCTACAAGACAAATCCTAAAGCACAATTTTAGTTTTGGATTCTTAATCATTTTCCTTGATATCAACAATTCAATGCTTTTCCAAGAGGTATGGTCAACATCTATTAGTGTCATAGTCAAGTGTTACTATCAGCTAGCTACAAGACAAAGAATGGATTCACATTTGAGCTAAAATATTTCAAATATGTAGAGAACATGAGACAGTCTAGTCACCATTGGGAACCATCTTTTATAGTTCACATAGTTCTCTGCTCCCTAAAGTTTATGATTTTCATTTAAAAAATTTAGTGTTGCTTAAATTACCTTCCATCTAGTTCTCGAACAGCATCAGCTGCATCTCGAGGATCCTCAAATTCAACAAAAGCAAAGCCGGGAGGGTTTCTAGCAACCCACACACTTCGGAGTGGCCCATAATAGCCGAAAGCCCGTTCCAATTCAGTCTTGTTGCCATTGTTTCCCAGATTGCCTACATAAACCTTACAGTCCAAAGGACAGGAATCACGATGCATTTCTGTAACAAAAGAAGACCAAAACCATTAGTATATGCATAGGAAACAAATTACAAAATGCCAAAATAAAACTACAGTACCACTCTGGAAACACCCATTTTATGCCAACTTCCAAGCAGGCAGCAAACTAACAAGGAAAAAAGCCTTCCTAGGAAGGTTCAATTGTCACAAGATGTACTCTGACAAACTTAAACCTGTTAATCCATTTGATCGTCAAAGCATCTAGAAAAGTTACTATAATCTACAGGAAACAAGCTGACGGGGGAAAAAAATCACTAACAAGCAGAGAACTGGTGGCTCAAGCCTGTAATCCTATTTGGGAGGCTGAGGCTGAGATATGAACAAGATCTGAAGACAGCCAGGGCAGGAAAGCCAGTGAAACTAAACTCAACACCAATAAACTATCAAAGAGCAGGAAGTAGAGCTGTGGCTCCAGTGGTAGGGCTAGCTTTGAACAAGAAAAGCGCAAGGACAGCACCCAGGCCCTGATTTGAAGCCCTAGGACTAGCACAAAAACAAACCAACCAGTGTGAAAAACAGCAAGGCCAGTTCCATTTCCTTTTCTGGCATACAACAGAATGCATGAAGCCAATTTAATTTCAAATCAAATCTAACCAAATAGAATTTTGTCCTGTCCCATCCTACAAATTAACAGAGCCAACTCTAACATGGCTAAAAACTTCCAATTATATAAAAAGTTTAATACCACAGAATCTGTTTTCTACAAGGAAGAGCACTAATACCACATCATTAAATAGATCAAAGGGGTTCTTATGCAGTAAAAATTCCTCAATTAAGGAAACCTAGTGTGAAGGCTCAGAACAGGTTGCAGCTCAGTCGCAAAGTTGCCTAATAAGCACCAAAGCCTAGGTTTGATTCCTGGTTAAGGGGTGGGGAGGTAGTAAACTAGCTAAGCATCACTGGCTGGACTGTAATCCTAGCTACTCTGGAGGGAGATCAGACGATCGCCATCCCTTTGGGAAAGTTTTTTTCTTATCTCCCATTAATTACTAAAAAGCTGGAAATGAAGATGTGACTCAAAATGGTAAAGCACTAGCCTTGTGAACAAAAGCAGCTAAGGGGACTGAGTCTAGGTTCTGAATTCAAGCCCCAAGACCGCCAAAGAGGCACACAAAGACAGTATAGTAACTATTCTCACGGTCCTCCAGGCAAACTAGTAAGCCAAACCAACGTGCTCTTCCAACCAAAGCAAAAACTCCATGGCTACAAGTGAGGAAAACACCCAAAAGCATATTAAGTTAAAACCAGAAACATTCAACAGGTCAATGCAGAAAAGACAGTGGCCAGAGACTGGAGAAAGGAGAAATAGAGAATTTGGAATGGTTGCAAAAAAAATGCTATCTACTTGGGGAGGGGGGCTCAAAAACATGTTTTAGGTCACCTAGAGGGTATGTGCAACACCTCACCTCAGCGCCAGATGAGGGGAGGCCGCCTGTAACCCCCCATAGTCCACTAGAGGAGCTGAAATCAGGAGTTTCAAAGCCAACACCAGGAACAGAGTGGAAACCTCCCCTTCTCCAAATACTGAATTGTAGACTTCCAAACAAATCTTACTTCACTTAAACAAAATCCAAGTCAAAGGACAGGATACGCATTCCAAGAATTTACTGCACTTGGAGGCCACGTGTCGAAAACACAGTTTAATCCTGTCACTTGGGTAACAAATCCAATCAACTAGTTCTCAAAAAGCAAAGCTATTTTGTTCTCCCCCCCCCCACCTCTACTGAATCTAGTAAAAAAAAAAAAATCCAGTCCAGACACATCCTGTTTCTCCCGACCCGACCCCACCCTGACGCCCGCGGCGTCAGTTCAGACCCAGACAGCGGGTCAAAGCCCTTCCGCGCCCACTTCCAGGGCTGTCCGTGGGAAGCCGCCCTCGCGGCCACGCCACTCGGCTTCCAAGAAGGTGCGCTACGGTGAAGGGAACCTGTACAACTGCAAAAGGCCAAAGCCGCCTCTAAAAAACTAAAAAAAAAAAAACACCACCACACGCGTGCTGGAGCCCCGTTCAGAACGGGCCGGAAGGCCCAGGCTTAGCCAGTGACTTAAAGCTTGAAAAACCGTGAGAGTCTGCCCACGAAAATGAGCAATTGCCCCCTCAAAAAAAGGCGCCATTAAAACGGGAAGGCCGCGACCTGAAGCGAATTCCAATCACGGACGCCCCCCGACACCCCAAGCCTCGGGAAATCCCTAACGCCGACACCCCCACCCAGGAGGGCATTAACCCTCCGCACCCAAGGCCCGGAAACGTTCTCCGGAAGGTCCGGAGCCCACCGCCACCGCCCCGCGCCGAACGTCACAAAATGGCGGCGGCGCCTTTGTCTCAGTCAGGCGCCGCCGAGGAGCGTGGCTCCAGCTAGATGCCGGTTCAACGCCGCTTTCCTCTCTCCGTGGCGGGTCGCTTACCGAGGTCGTGGAGTAGAAACGCGGAGGCTCAAACCCACACACCCGGATTGCTTTCCCCGAACTTCTCGGGCTAAGCCACCAAAAGGAGATGCGCACACTTCTCCGGCGTCCACGAAATGGCGGACCACCGCCTTCCCCCTCGCCCCTATTTATACTGCATCCCGGAGGTCACGTGGTTGTCCAAGCTCGTCCAATGAGAAGCTGTAGATTCTGTGACGTCAGGCGGCTACAAACGCTGCGAGAGCCGCGGTTGCTGGGAGCGCGCTCCGGCCGTTCCGTCAGGTGGGCGGAGCCGTGTGCGAGCGCGAGCTTGTCGCTTGGAGGCCGCGACTGGGCCTGGGCCCGGGGCCGGGGCCGGGGCCGGGGCCGGGGCCGGGG